AAGCAGTGGTATCAACGCAGAGTACTGACCAAAACCCATCGGCGAGCTTCAGGGCGTAGAACGAGAAAAAATCGAATCACCCAAATTTCTTTGAAAACTTGCTCATAGAGGTTATCTGACCTGCTGATTACGAAAACCACATCTGCTTAGCAGTAGAGCTTCTCATTTTAGGGTCACTGTGGGCAAAATTTCAGACAACACGATTTTCCAGAATTCACCAGCTCTTCTATCTTTTCTCAAAAAGATTCTCCGGTTGCTTCTTAGCGCTCGATAATCTGCGGAAGCAGCACAATCCAACAGTGCTTAATAGAGTCTTTTATGTTTGATGTGCGCTGCGTTGCGACCTTGTGAATATACGCGCGCAGAAAATTTTGAAAAAATTGAAAACGGAACTTCAAGAACATGCTGTATACAGTAAGATTCGAATTGACAAGATGAACACAAATCTGCTTTCTGATTTCGAAAATGTTCATTCTAAAGAAAGTTACGGCTAGTAAAACTTGGAACAGCTTAATTTTTCCAGAGTTTATCAGCTCTTCTATCTCTTTTGAAAGGGAGTCTTCGGCTGCTGTTTAGCGCACGATAATCTAGTAAAGAGTACTATCGAACAGTGCCCATGGCAGTCTCCTATGTGTGATGCTTGTTGCGTTACACCCATGCGAAGAGGCGTCGGCATGCAAATTCAAGATTATTGAAAACAAGATATTGGAGACAATCGTATATCAAAAGATTTGCCTTGACGAGCTGAATACAACGTTGTTTTCGGATTTTGAATATACTCATTTGGAAAAAAGTTATGGCCCTGCGTAATTTGCGTGATTCACATGAATTTCGCGGAATTCCCTGAAATTCTGCATGTTCTGTGAGTGGTTTTGTACTATAAGAGATAGAGCGATAAAAACTCACACAGCGTTTTCTAAAGTACATTTCTTATTGTATATCAAAAATGATCCAATTTTGTGTCGTCAGTGATAAATGATAAAATGATGATATCAATGACAACGACAGATAAGAATGGCTTAAATTCATGCGGTCGATTTCCACGTTCATCTTCCATATAGGTACAGAATTTCAGCCCAGGCTTCGGCGTGAAGCGAGTTGAAGCAAAAATGCCATTCTAGGTAAGAATTGGCAGCAATGGCATGTGCCGATGAAAAATCGATCGATTGCTGCAGCGAGGGATCTACCAATTGCACCGAGCAATAGAACTAGAAAAGCCTGTAGATCACTTTTAATGAGAGAAAGAGCGATAGAAATTCACACAGCTTTTCCTACAGTACTTTCCTTACCATATGCAAAAAATGATCCAAAAATGTGTTATTATCAGTGATAAATGATAAAATGCTTATATCAGCGATAAGGGTAGATAAAAACTGCCCAAATTTTCGCGATAGTTTTCGATAACGAGAGCTTCGTACCAGAACCTCCTATACGCGATTTACACTGTGATAAATGTTCACAAAAGCCTTAACGTAGAAAACAACAAGGTATCATTGTATGTCTACCCCGTCACTATGAACTACGGACATATCGATATCAAAAGATTCGTCTCATCAAGCTGAAGCCAAATCTTCACTCATATTACAAATAAAGCTATTTTAAAAGAAGTTATAGCTAAATCCCGCTTATCCCGCAAATCCCGCGAATCCCGCAAATCCCGCGAAGTCGCGAATCCCGCGAATCCCGACAATCCCGCGAATCCCGACAATCCCGCAGTTTTGGACAAATTCCACCGCTGCAACTGTACATCTAATGCACCAGACTGTTTTTCGCCTATTGCTCACTACTGGTACATCATTATCAATCTGCGCTCCAATTTTTGAAGCCGAGGCGAGTACGCCAAAGTTATGCATCCAGGTATAGCTTGAGTTTTTTCCATTTCGACTTTTCCAATTTGGGGGGGGGGGGATTTTGAAATAACTTATGCGAGTTATAAATTTGTGCAGGTAACTTGTTTCTGCTTGTAAATAACTTCGTGATTTTCGGCATTTTTTGAACATTTGAGTTAGATTTGTAAAAAAAACTTATCGGGGCGTAACTGGCACCAACCAGAGGGCGTGACCTTTTAAGGTAAAATTCTTTTGAGCTTTCTTCTTCTTCCCCCCCCCCCCCCTAAAGAAATTTCACCGCCAATGCGTGGCTGCAAAGCATTGATTAGACTTATTTTGAAGTACATTCAAAACCTTCCATCATCTGAGATAAAAACTACCAGGAAATTTTCAGAAACAATCAATAACGCTTACCGAGCAGCTAAAAATAAGTCGTAACAAAATTTTTGATCTGAAACATACAATATTGCGACTTTGTTTAATGAACTTCGCTGCCTAATTTATTGCCTTCTTCCCATCAACAAAGTTCGGGACTGCGCTATCAGAAATGACAAAGAATCGTGTGCAAGCTAATAAATGTAGAAGCATACTGATAAAATGCAAACTTCGAAAGTCTTGGCTAATTTGGTTGTTAACATGCTGAGAATTTTGACTAATTTTTTTTGTTTCAGATCGTTATTCCTCTGCTGGGACCAACAGACCCGTGCAAAATGTTCCACAATCATCGGATGACGATGAGAGAGCACGAGCCAGGTTACGAATAGAACAAGAAGCAAATGATTTAAAAAGGAAAGAGCAGGAGTTGCGAGGCACGATCGGCTATAGCATTGCCAAGGACTCAACACTATTGGCTTCAACTTCACGGTTACACAATGATCAGTACAGGAGAAACAACTTCGTTCCTTCTACTTTGCCCAAGAACTATCACAATCGAATCTCTTCGGATGGGAACAACAATGCATTTGGTGTGCAGAAATCCTCGGGAAATCTTTACCATAATCGACAACCTGCTCCTATACCTCAAGCAGCTCGGCAATTCCAACCGTCACCGGTTCCCAAAACTGTAAACCCGAATTATGCCCGGGAAACTTGGAACGGTACATTACATTCCTCGCTCATATCCCTTAAGGCAAATAACGACGAAGCGATGCGAATAGAAAGTTCGCCTGCACCATCTCCAAAGCCTTCCCCACAACCCAATCGAATGTCCCCGCTTCCTGAAGGCGAGATTACCCAACCTGTCAATCCTGGTGCCAATTTAATTCCGCCTATGACTCATAGGGCACCATCAGCACCAAATCTTTCTGAAAATAACAACGTCTCCAAGTTTTCACCGTCCATGGTGAAGAAAAATGTCTCTCCATTCGAAGAAAAGCGAGAAAGTAAAGATATGGCTCCACTGACTCCAAATGCGGGTTCAAATATTCGAAAAGTCAAGGAAGCTGTCAAACAGCAATCACTTAGTCAAAAAACTGCCGCCAATTTGCTGCTTCAGAAGCAAACTACCACGCATACTCCTCTCAATCAAGTAACCAAGGCTTTCGATAAGGATAGAATTGAAGCAAATAATAACAAACCAAAGGAGTCACCGAAACTTGGAAGAAGCAATAATATGGACAGTGCAAGCACTGTTTCTGAAGATGAAATCAGCAATAATATCGCTAAAGTTTTGAAAGAGGGTCTGTCTACATTGAAGAAAACCGCACCACCAGTAGAGAAGAGTGGAATTACGCTGGGAAGAGTTGTCGAAACAAATCGCGTGGATGATTCTTCGGTGAGGTTTCTGATGAATTTTTTATTTAGCTTAAAGTACAGTAGGAAGTGTACAGGCTTATCAAATAAAGTGTCGCTTGCCCCAGCATCTTCCTCCCGCGCTGGACTCTGCGTCTCTTCTGCGGAACATGCTCCCTAATCACTTCCAATCAATTGAGGCTCCGCCTTTCCCATGCTCGTCCTCGGAAAGTGCTTTGAGAGCTTGCTGGCAGAGACGCGGAGTTCAGCGGGAGATGCTGGTGCACCCGATACTTTACTTGATAAGCCCTGTAAATTTTGTCGTAAGATTTCTCCCACAGAAACCAATGCATCTTCACTTGTTGCTTTTAAAGCGTTTGCACAGGGGCTTTAAAATTTGGGACCTCGTCCATTCAAGTCGAGAGTGGTGACATTCTCATGCTTTATAGTAGTAGAGCCCCCAAGTAAGTAATCGCAAGTCCCGCTGCACAAGATGTATTCCAAAGCGAGAAAATCGTCCTAGAATGTATGAAGGGTTCTCCGCCCATCAACGTGGATGATCTGGAGTAAATGAGTGTGAAAGTGGTTTCCAGAGTAGATAGAAACGCCTGAAATTGTTAAGCATAATGATAGGAGAATGAATGACAGTTCGAGATAAAGGCTACCGCATGACGAAGGCGCAGAAGCAGTATAAGTTGAGCGGGCGCGAACGCGACGCGCGCGCGTATCTTTACCGTTGTAAATGCGCTTCATGCGCTCTATGGCTAATAAAGCCGGTTCGCGCCCAATTATATTGCGCATTCGTTATGCAGCAGCCTATACATAAGGCACGATTTTGGACTTGTTAGCTTCAGACCTCCCACGTTGATGGGCGGAGATTCCTTAGCCGCTTGTACCTTTTAAAGAGATTTTCTTGCTATAGAGTTCATGTTTTGCTTCGGGACTTAAACGACTACTTACTGGGTCTGCTATTATGAAGCATTAGAGTTCTCGACATCCTCAAACTGCTCAGACAGTCGAAGGGATATCCGGCGGGCAAATGACGCGAGTCTGCCAGTCGGAGCGCTCCGGAGCCCTGCCATTTCATCCATTTTGGTGCTCGGGGCTCTCCCAAATCTGGCGCATCTCCGGAGCAGAGATATGCGCGTCCCGGAGAGGGGTCCCATTTGCCTGCTTGTGACGTCGCGCGCCATTTGCCCGCTAGAGGTATCCTTTCGACTGTCTGAGTTACAGCATATGGCCCCGGACAGACTTCGCGCGATTTGATCGTCGCGACTGAATCGCGACGAGACAACTGTTGCAACATTAATCCATGCCGATCAATGCATTTCGGTTGTGATACTTTTCCAGCCCGAAATTCTTGAATGTGAAATGAAAATGAATGGAAATGTCGGCGATTGAGATGTCGCGACGATCAAGTCGCGTGAAGTCTATCCGGGGCCTATAAAGACACCGTCCAACCACTCAGACAGTCGAAGGGATACCTCCGGCGGGTAAATGCCTGCTTGTGATGTCACCGTGAACGAATGGGACCCCCTCCGGGATGCGCAAATCTCTGCTCCGGAGGTGCGCCAGATTTGGGAGAACCCCGGAGCACCAAAATGGGTGAAATGGCAGGGCTTCGGAGCGCTCCAGAGCGCGAAGTGGCAGACTCGCGCCATTTGCCCGCCGGAGGTATCCCTGCGTCTGTCTGAGAATGCACAGCACCAACTTCGCGGGAGGCATACGAAGTGTGGTATTTATAGGAAAATTGTGGGAAATAGATAGGTGAATATCTCAGACAAATCGAGAGAGGGTCCCGGCTCTGCCCAGCGGGGGTTTGCCACTCGTGCTCCGGAGACCTCCCATTTCACCTATTTTGATGCTCCGGGGCTCCTCCAAAATCTGGCGCACCTCCGGAGCAGAGATTTGCGAGGAGCCCTGGAGCACCAAAATAGGTGAAATGGCAGGACTCCGGAGCACGAGTGGCAAACCCCCGCTGGGCAGAGCCCGCGACCCTCCCACTTTCGCTCCAGAGGTATGCCGTCGATTGTCTGCGATTAAGATATTTTTGCACCTGCATGTCCCAATTACTTTTATCTATTGTTGAGTCATCGACTGTACGGAGGCCGCAGAATGCGGAGCAAGCGCTGTGCGGCTGAAATGTCACGAGAGCACGACTTCTACAACAGCGATTTGTACTGATAGAACCCTTTAATTCGACAGGATTGGCGGGTGGAAGGCGAACGCTAGCGTCCGCGACGCAGTCTGCGTCTCTCTCGCGAACATGCTTCTCTGATCACTCTCTGGCCGTATTCATCAACGAACCCTGAGTGTCAAACACCCTGGAGGGTTAGTTTAACCCTGGAAAGCGATTAACGTATCCATGAAACACAGGCTAGGCTTAACCCTGAGGCTTAAATCTACTCTTGAAGGTGAATCTTACCCCAAAAGCGATTAACCCGTATTCATCAACGAATCCTGAGGGTTAAACTAACCCTGGAGGGTAAAACTTACGTAATTCATCAGGGTTGATTTAGCCTTAGCTTAGAGTAAGGTTAACTCTACCCTAACACTTCATGCAAACATTTACTCGCATCTAATAGTTTTATGGAAAACGATCAACGAGTATTGTAGTTTAATATTAGTTCGAGTTCGTTTCATGTTTAAATTCAAAGTACATGAAACAATGACTTCGCGAGAAAAAGAATTCTAGCTTTGGTGACAAAAAATGCGACGGGGAAAAATGGTTGCGCATTCTAATCTGACAAGCGTCAAAACAGAGAACCCTTTTATGATAACACGCATTGACTCTTAAAAGAGTAGCACAAGCCCGGTATAAAACGAACTGCGCAAAAGTAGAACTTACAGGCACAACTGCACACATGAAATTAAACTCACGCTGTAAGTTTGGATGCTGCACAAATATGTTGGAGATGTATTATAAAAACTAGTCTTAGAAGCTTATTCGTTGATTATACTACCATAACAGTGCAAGAATAGAAGTATGAAGTGAATTTAGCACGCACTTAGGCATTCCGTGATGTGAGTTTGCACAGCGCACGCGTAACTGACGCCTTAACCCTCCAAGGTTAGTTTAACAATCAGGGTTCGTTGATGAATACGGCCACAAGCCAACTTACCCTCGTTGATCGGTACGGGTGGATCGCGTTCCGTGATACACCCTACCCTATGGTTGATGAATACGGCCAATGAACCCTGAGGGTTAAACTAACCCTGGGGGGTAAGTTTGACCCTCAGGGTTCGTTGATGAATACGGCCACTGATCTCATAAGCCCCGCCTTCCAGCTGCCTACCCCGTCGAAGTACAGGCGTTTAGCCGCGCGGGGGCGTGCTCAGCAATTTACGGCCACTCCGTGTGGTCGTCGACTCGACGGGGCCTGTCCAACCCATATTACAAACCAAAAACACACCAATAGCAATTTTCACAGTTATTTTATTCTACATTTGCAGAGAACGCGACATGATGGCGGTGTGGGACAACAAACTCGTCCATATGCAAGCGCTTCTATTCCGACTCATTCAACGAAGCCTACTCCAGCAGAACCAGCATTCGCTCCACCGCCACCAGCACCTGCTCCTCCACCGCCAGCTCCTGCACCTCCGGCGCCACCTCCACCACCTCCTGCTAATCTTATGGCGCCCAAAACTCAAAGGTCATTTCATTTCGCTTGCTTCCTACTTTAGCAAGATAATTTGGAAATGTAAACTTTGTATTACAGAATCTCAAGCCAACCTCCTTCTTCGCAACGGGGATTGGAAAATCAAAGAACCAGATCGGCACCTACCATGGTTGGCATTTTGACTTTTACGGTCTGCGCATTGCAAGAGAAAAACCATTTTCAGAATGGTCCGCGTGCGGCAATGCCGGATGTACGAGATAGTCTGATGGCTGAAATCAGAAATGCTGGAGGGATTCGCGCACTTCGCAAAGTTCCACGACAGCACTAAAGTCAAAACAGAGTTCTATACAAAATCATCTTTTTCTTTGATTTTATAGTCCATTAAACTTGATATGTGTACTGTTCTGTGATTATGAAACTTTTATCGGACTATTTAACAACAAAATTGTGATTTTTCTCATGTCGACGAGTTAGATTTAAACAGCCAATATATTGCAGCTTTCCGGAACTTCTAAATTTTGGACGCTAAAAAAAGTGGACTGAACAAAACTTCATGGTAAGTGGTTTACTTGGCTCGGTAATTACTTTGTTACTTACTACCTGAGAGTATCTAATTCTCACTGTTATCCATCCTCGATAGTCTAGAAATCACAGAAGTTAAATATCTTGAACATTGTAAGAGACGAAAAGTTTGACGCGATGAGAATGATCAAATGGATCATCAATGTACTGACTACATCTCTCTCTTACTTGAAACATTGAACATGAACAATCAGCTGAAGCAATTATACCTTATCCAATCATTCAATAAGTCACGGCTACTTATCAAGATCGTATCGATATCACAATTGATTAACAGGCCCTTTTTCTGATAAAGTTTGTTATCCTTTCATGCTTTTCATAAATCCTACTGCAAAATGTCATCCAAACCGTTCTTCTTTTTTTGTGTTTGCCCCTCCGTTTTTCTGCTTCTCTGCATTCATGCCTGCGTAGCAACGACGTCAACTCAGATCGCGGTCTGAGAATTGTAGAAATAAACTTACTAGGGTAGCAGTAAAACTTTTTCAGCCACAGTGCGCTAGTTAGCGTGGAAATAAATTTTGTATCAGTGTTGCTTTGCCAGCACGAAATTTGGGTGCAGCTTTATTATCATCAGGTGCCTATTTTTTTGTCTACTCGTCGTCTCCAGAGGCTTAAAGCGGTGCGAGATTAGTGATGTTATATCTGCCCCAGCAACGCTTCGTCAACCCTTGGTTAGCTTCTCCATCCCCTCTGGAATTGTACAAGCAAAAATTGCAGGACGAGCAAAGACCAACATACCTCTGCTCCGCCGTCAGCGCACTTGTTTTGACGGCTTACTCACAGGCAAAATCTTCACTTCCTACCAATCATTCGGAAATACTTGGGTATAGGGAGATACGCGATTTAATAAGATCTGAGGAGATCCTTGTCAGTGGTAAAGGTGGAGAACCTGTGATCACTCCGCGAAAACTAGATCGAGAAATCACTAACCTCCACTTCAGTGAAGGAGTGGGTACTGACGATCATTCGCATTATAAGCGATTGAATCACGTGCTGATGTGCATAGGAAAATCAGCTGGCTTCAACGAGAGCTTTCTTAGCAGACTCAAGCTAGACACGTCAAGTTGCCCGGTCTTCTACAGCCTTACAAAGACCCACAAGCTCAACGATGTTATCCGTTCGATGACACAGGTCAGTCTTTGGATAAGACCTATAATAAGTTGTGTCAGAGGCGCAACCGACAGAACATCTTGGTTCTTGAATAGAATTGTGTGGCAGTGGACAAGATATCTTTCCATTTAGCAAGAACTAAGCAATTCCTCGACCGCTTTAAATCCATCAAATGTGGAAATGGTTGCGTGGGTGAATTACTTGTTGTGATTAGCGGCCCAATGGCCTCCCTGTGTAGAAGCACGTAATTGCGAATCAAAGGCACCTTGAGTAACAGTAACATGAAATGAGGGTGAAAGAAGTGCATAAGCAAAGGTGCGATGGGAGGAGTCGGGTTTTCTCCGGTAAAAGGGGTCTTGACTGTTTTCTTCTTTAGAGGATGAAGGAGGTTTTTGAAGCCACAAAGCAATGCCTCAACAAGCAACAAACCATTCGAAAGTTAAGATCATGCGGCGTCGAGTTTTTGAAGGTTTTTTGAGTGGTGGGAATATTAGGATATTAGGATATTCATCTGGCCGACGTATCAACTGACTCGTGTTCATTTTCTGCTCTTCCGCAACAAAGATGAAAACTAGGAGAAGGTCTGCGGTCCAAGTTTATCAATGATTACTTGCTCTGTAACATAGAGAGAAAATCGACGATAGTTCGTCTTTGTTAGGCTCTGCTGTTGAAAATAGGCATAATTTCAAATTATGCAGCGTGTCTCTCAGTAGAAAAGGGCTAGAAAAAAAAATAGACGGTCTACGTCGAATCCCTTTTCTAGGCTTTCGAGTGGTACATAGATTATCGGGCTTTCAAGATTTGTCAGTATCAAAAAATGGAGTGGAAATCTTTGCTATTTGTTTGCTCCTCCCCGCCCTCTCGAAAGACCGTCCACAAAATAGGATCGATGAGATTTTGATGCCTAACAGTAGCGGTGCTCCCAACTGTATACTTGCCCAACTCGCGCTACCAAAAGTTGCTTCTGAAGCGACGAATTTGCTTTAGAATTGGCTTCGGTTGCGGATTCGCCACTTTGGCTCCTCTCCTTTGAGCGGGCGTGACGTTCGTCCCTCCAATCCTTGCGCAGCCAACCAATCACCATTCCAAAGAACTTGCCCTGAAGGTTCTCCAGAACGCAGATTGTCGGGGTTCCGGATACTTGACCTGATATTCGAAATAAGGGACATAGTAAGGCGCCGGAACAAAATACATGGAAGTCGAGAATTTGGACGGCCCCTTCTGACTGGCTTTTATGGATCACGGGAGCAAGCATTTTTTTCTAGCCAGGAAGCGAATTGTCCCAACAAGCTAAACACCAATTAAAGCTGAGTATCAATGTGGACCGTTGACTTTCTTCTATCACTTCTCAGCAGTAACATGAGGTGTTTTTGTGGCCAACAAATACGACTTACTTTGGCTAATGGAAAATCCATTCAGTCTTCTTCAACTTGCAAGAGAGGTCCCGTTAGGTCGAAATGGCCTTTTCAAATGAAATTTATAGAATTAAAAGAGGATTGAACGCTGATTGTGAATCTGTCTTCGTCATCTGCCAAACGCCTCTGGACGCCGAGTTATGAGCGTTTTTGGGTTAAAAAATTGTGCGTAATAGAACAAAATTCGTCAGAATGCTCAAATGGTCTAACGTCGATCTCAGAGCGCTTCATTCAAAGACAGTTTCGGTCCAAAACACTCATACTACATGCTTTATTTAAACGCTGAAAAGTCCTAACAGTTGATTTTACTTGAATTCTGCGGTCACTCTTCGCTCCAAAAAACACTCATAACTCGGCATGCTGAGGCGCTTGGCAGATAAGAGAATCAGATTCGGAGTCAGCGTTCAATGCTCTTCAAAGGTGTATATGACTCATTTAGAAAGGCCACTTCGACTTTAGTACACGAAGAATAGCCTTATTGAGGCAATCTACTACTTATTACCAATGGCGGTCTCAGAATTTTTGGTTCCTTATTAGCACCGATCCGTAGACTTGGTTTAGTTGATTTTTCGACGCCTCTTGCCTCTCTTACAAGCAAAACACTTATAACAAACCGTGACAAGCCTTGAAAAACCTTGAGACTTGGAAATTGTTGAAGAAAAGAAAGCGTGCCAGCATAAAACAAACATTTTTGTTACAAAGAGTCACTCATTAGAGTGAGCACAACAAAGATGAAAGAGGAAAATATTTTATAACAGCCTAGAGCCCTTCGCTTTTCTTCATTTCTTTAGCTTTCTCCTTTTCTTCTTTCTCTTTCTTAATCCCTCTTCGCACCGCATATGGACTTTTCTGTTAATTGAATGCAAATCTTTGGATAAAGTGTTACAGCAACAAACATCAATCAACCCTGTATGCAAACTCACTGTCATTTTCTTTCAGCCAAATTAAAAGGAATGCCCTCTAATATTCACTTTTCTTTGCTTTTTCCGCGACCTTCATCATCTAAATAGCAAAGTAGTTCTACGTCTGTGAAAATACAATGGTTGAATAATCTCAATTGTTTATCTTCTTCCGTCAGAGGACTGTCAGAGTAGTGGACTGATATTTCGAATAAGCCCATTCTTGTGTATGATGTTATAGATTCCGGCGTTCTTGAAGACGATTTAGAGTAAAGAAAACATTTCTTGAAAACATGAAAGTAGTCCGAAACCAACATTTCAAAAAAAATTGCATTTTGCATGCTCTGGTATAATAGTATATAGTAGTAGTATAGTATAGTAGTATATCTATATAATATATGGTATGGTACAGTCGCTTCATTTCATATGACCATGTGTGCCATTGCACACACAGTCCACTTTGGCGTCCTCATCCTGGATTTGCAATCACAAAAACGCAAGAGACTTACCGATTGTTATCGATTACATCAATTTGAGGTGACTAGTAACTAAAAAGGAAAGAAAATGCTAAGAACACCTTGGAAACACTTACCTGAAGACTTGTTTCTCCCACGAATCCAGGATGGGGACGCCAAAGGTGAACTGTGTGTGCAATGACACACATGATTATGAAATGAAGCGACTGTATTTGCTAGTATATGTTAGTATAATCTAATATGGTAGTATAGTATTAGGTTGTAAACTATTATAATCTAATATGGTAGTATAGTATTAGGTTGGAAACTAAGTTTTGCAACTGGTCTCATAACTTCCCTCTCACTCAACATGGCGCACTTAAATTTTGCCACTGCGTTGGTTATTACGTAAGCTACAAGCACAGCTGCTGTCCTACCAAATTCTGACGTCGCAGTGTGGTTACGTTCTGTGCATGGTATGAAGGGGAAAAATTCAAAGTTTGACGGATTTGGCTGAAACTTGGCATAGAGGTGTTATCCGACATGCTGATCACGAAAACGATAGTGAACTTGCGTAAGGGCTTTTTTGCAGGATTACTGTAGGTGTACGATATGGGGTCTCACCCTAAACAAGGAAAAAGGCGTGGATTAAACAAATGAATGTGATATTCGCGTTTGGCAGGTCAAATAACCTTACTATGTAAAACTCGGCGGAATTTGAGCTTCGGACTCTTCAGTCATTGAGGTCGTCCCCAACAGCTCTTGCGTACATCGACTCGTTCGTCTTTATGAGGACGCCAAATCTCGACATGCCCCTAGATTTTGTTTCTTTCTTAATAGGCCAAAGGAGTCAACCTCCAGCAATAA